TGCAAAGACAGGAATATTTCAAATGCAAAATGAATGTTTTGGAGAACTGAAAACACAGAGATGGATGTGTGAAGAGAATGGCTTCTGAAGGTGGATTTAAGGGACTGATAATAAGGATTTCCATTTATCTAGTGTTTACAAGTAGCTGCTGCTTGGCTGTTGAATAGGATTCATCACCAAGGCATTTCTTTGAAGTTAAATACTTATTAGCCACAGGTAATTATTCACAGACATCAGTCTGGCATAATTTCATATTTTCCAAAGGATTTGCAGTAAAAGCATTCTTAAATATTTCCTGTCCCCTCTCTGATGAATGTTCAATAGAAAGGGGACATTGTGATACCAGAGGTAAAACAATTGAAGCTTTGTTTTAATAATTGGTAAATTTATTGCTGATAAATATACTAAAGCTTTGTCTGTTTGCTGTTTGCAAACAAACTGATTTACATTTGCTATTAGTCTGTATGCTTTTGTAAGATATAAATTTACTAACTAAAAAAAATTTCTATAAAAGAAAGAAAATAGAAATTGAAGAATGAGGACAGGCATACTTCAGACTATGTTTTTTATTATTTAGTTAAACATCTTTTCAGAAGAAAATTAATATTAGACTAAACTAACAATTCCTATTTTTACTTGAAAAGACTCTGGAATAATTTTAATTTCATTCCATAGTTCTGACTTAGCACTGTTTGATCAACACTTCGATGGACGTGTCCACGGAGAGCAGAACAACAGTAAAAAGTGCTGATGATGACAGATTGCTTTTCTAAATACTTAAATACTCACTTATTAAGGACTAGAGGAACAAATTTAAGTCCCTTTGAAATCAGTGGAATCAGGAATATACATTACTTAAGTATAAGGCAGAAATTATAATGATGCTTGATTTGTTCATGTATATAAATAATTTACTAAACAATTTTGTCAGTGGCACTTCCTCCTCTGTGCAGGGACTTGCCTGACAATGACGACGTGTTAAAAATACACTGGGCTGCTCCTGGAGCAGGGAATCCAGATGTAACACAACTTCTTGCTTAGAGTCAACCATTGATGTTGCAACTGAATTTGCCTTTAGGTAGTTCTTTTACTCCTAATCACCTGTACATCTGTACCTAACAATAATTACCTAACAATAGGTAAATATTTTGAAATTATTTTTGCATCAGTCTGAGCTATAAATTATAGTTATGGTCTTTCTGAACAATAGTCTGAAGTGAATTATTAAGTGAATAAATGGTTGCATTTTAAATATGTGATACTTTATAAATATTTTTAGAGACAAAGTATTTTGGAAAAATAATGGCTTTTCATGTATGATCAAAAGCTTAACTTTTGCAGGCTCCTGGTGGCCCAATTGATGGTGAAAAGCACTATTGCACCTTAGTGCTAAGATTCCACTGTACTGGATGTTGGCCAACAAACACAGTCCAGCAGACCCTTGCAGTGTAATTAAACACTCATCAGTGTCTTTTCACTGCTTGATTGGTCAGTGCTCCTCTTTGAGGAAAATTCAAAGACAAGGGCTTTGCTTTGTACAATTTTTATTATATATAGACAGGTTTTGTTTGGGTTTTTCTCCCCCCACAACTAACCCACTCCAGTGAATCAGCCTGACACAATCCTGAAAGGTTCTGTAGCTGCAGAAATTCAGCCACATGCTGAATTTCTAGTAAAACTATGAGTTCAGAACTCTTTCTTACTCTACTAACATAAACTTCTCCCCACAGATTCAACAAAAGGCTTTAAAAAAATTCCCTAGCACATTAAATAGACCATATAGAAAAATTATTACCTTGAGGAACCTGCAAATCTGAGAGTTGGATGAGGAAACAATGAACTACTTCCTCTCATTTCTATAATGGATGAGAAGGAAAACAGATCCATATGGTACATATGTGCAGCAGAGCTTATTTTAGAGTTAATCCCAGGACAGGACATTTTTGTCTGTCCACCTGTGAATTTCTACTATTGATAACACTAAGTATATAAAAACAAGGTTCTTCATGGCTGTAATTTATACAGTATCTCCTACACATTAGAAAGTCATCAGTGTTCAAGACAACCTCTAGGAAAGAGTGATGTTTAATAAATTATATTGCCATGTGAAAATGTTTGGGTTGTTTTTCCCCTTTAAATAAATAATGCTGCAACTTCTAAACCTTAAGGATTTTATGCTCAGAATTCGATCATTAAAATAATACCATATGTTGGACACATCTTTAAAACAGATTTGCCTACTTTGCTGAAGGTGGTGGGAAAACAGCCTGTCAAATCTCTCAGAATCTCCACTGTCTCCCAGCTGGACCCAGGAATGTAAGAAAATACTAACTTTTCTTCATATAAATACGAGAAAGAAATTTGCTTTCAATCAAGGAAATTAGATCAAGTGCAAAAAGAACTAAAAACTGTTGCAGCATCTGCTCAGACTACTGGAGAAGGTGAAAAATAGGCATTGTCTAAGCCCACAAAAATAATAATGAATATTTACGTGCATTAGCACATGAGAAATATCTGCAGTGACCTACCTACTTAACAGGTTACAAACATGGGTTTTCTTTTTTCTAAAAATTATTTACAGACTATTGCTATACACTAAAAATAGCAGTTACCATAATCAGCAATTATAGTTAATTGCTGATTGATCCAGTAATCTGATTGTTGTGGTTTTAAGTCACAGATTCAGGATTCTTAAAACAAACATACAGAAACATACGCAAACAGCGTCCTCAAAATCTCTGACTGACAAATAGTTAATATTTGGCCCTGGCAAATGCCTACACAGCTACACAGCTTCTAAAACACAATGGATTGCAGTCTCCACAAGGCAGGCACAAGCAGAAGACTAACCACAATGTGGCCAAATTCATCAGATCACTTCCCCTGATATGAAAAAAAAGAACTAGAACTTTACAACAGCACTTAAATAAAGGATTTATAAGTGACTCAGACTGATTTCTATCCAGGCTTGTCAGAGCCTGAATGCTCACAGAGTGTAGAAGTCCTTAATAGTTTTCTCCTAATCTCCAACTGTTTTAAGTAACCAAGTCAGTCTTGGGCACTATCACATCCTGATTTAATACAGCTACAAATGACTTGGCAGAGATTACACAGGGCTTCTGTGGAGCTCCATAAACCCAAATTGCCACCTTTCCAGGAAAATGCCTGAAGACTATTAGACTATGCTTCCTGAAAAGCCCTGAGTGCAGGGTGATAGATCTGGTATCAAAGATCTGTTTCATTTGTCAGTATGCAAACATGTTCCAAATTAATCCACAGTAACCACGCTTGGTTAAAAGCAGCAACAATCTTCCTACACATAAAAATTGCTATTGTTATCCAGCCAAATAAAAAAAATGTTATCTGATGGGCTCATGTTGAGTCATGCTCACAGAATTCCCTTACAGTACCCAGATGATATCTACAGAACTGGATTAATTAAGCCTAACTGAAAAGCAAACAGCAAATGCAGGTATTAATCAGAACAATATTTTTTGTTACTGTGAATTTGTATTTTGCATTATCTGTGAATAAGTATGCAAAATAGAAATAATCATTGCATCGTGTTTGCAGTGTATACAAACTGGAAAAAAATACCCTAATGATGTGCATGACTGTGAAACCACAGTTGTAGAACTGCTACTCCATTGCCGTGGATGCTTTTTAAACATCTCTGTCTAATGTGATCCCTCATGAACAGAAGGCTCAGCAGGAGCACAGCTTCCTTGCCTCTAAGAAGGGTAACAGGTGGTTAATAACACACATGGCAGAGATTCACTGCTTTAGGCTGGGAGGTGAAAAAACTGTGTTATGTGGAAAGCTGAATCTACAAATAACATAATGAGTCAGGCTGTAATTAATCTACCTAGATACCAAGGAGACTGCAGTTGCATCATGATTATCTGAAGGTTCCTGGGAAACTTTGACACTATCTGCCACAACCTCTAAAGCAAAGTGTGCCCTAACAACACACTGGAGTTTGGTAAATAGAAGCAGCAGGAGAAAAATCCCACCTCTTGGTTTTGAGGAACACTTCATTTAACAGCCAGGTTTTCATTTTAATGAAACTTTAAGATGTGACAGGATGAAACAGGACATTCATGAAACAGTCATGGGCAAAGGTGATATCACATGAAATACAGGTATCTTTCTAAAATTACCACTGTAATGGTTACATTATAAGTTACAGTTGATGGATTCAAATGAAGAAATTAAATGAGGAAAAACAGCCTGCAGCAAATCTGTGATAAATTTAGCATTAAATCTGTGGCAATATACATGCATTAGGATAAGCAATTATACATTACGGTTTAGGGAATACAAAATTAATGTCCTACTATTCAGACAAAAATTTTTGAGCCCACATTTACTACTGGACTTCTTCAGTATTGAGAAGATTGAACACAAGGTTTTCTACTGACAGTAACATTTTACTGGAAAACTCAGTTTGGAGTCTGAAGCCAAGCTACTGCAGCAAAATTCAGGGCAGCTGCTGGCAAAGCAGTTCATAAAGCTGCAGCTGCAACACTGTCATCAAAGGCAAGACTTTCTTATTTCAAAACACACACAGACTGAGTGCCCACAGCTCTCAGCACGTCATCACTTACAACACCACAGGCAGGAAGATTCTGAAGGAGGAGGGAGAAACAACCAGCAGGACACAATAATCTGCAGGTTTTCTGCTCCACGCTACTCCAAACCCTCCCTGCAACTGCCAGCCAGAGGAGACTCCTCAAGAGCAGGGATAGAGTGCATTCCCCAAAGCAGTTTCCTTTGGGCACCTGCCTGGCTATTCTGCTGCTTTTCCAGATGCAAATTTGTGTCAAGGCTTTGCTGAGAAATTACACCCAGAACATACAATTGAGATGTATGAGTCGTAGTTGAGATGGTCACAATACAAGGCAACACTCCATTTTCAGATGGCTTCCAACCCCATTTGATCACAGCATGCATGCTTCTTATACATTCCTACAAAACTCCTAAGTTTACAGTTTACTCACTGGTCAGGAAAGACAAAGTGCTTCTTGGAATAGACAGTTGCAGGTTTCTTTTACTTATCCTTCTTTCTTTCTTGGTCTCTATGTCAACAACCTTGGTAGAAAATTCTTTCAGGGATAAACATGGATCCTCTTATCAAACTTCTCTCTGACTCACAGAAGTTGCTGTAAAACCTCTTTCACATACAACCACAAAGAGAACAGCAGTTTTTCACATCGGCAATATCTTGTTTCACATTACTAAAAAAAAAAAAACAAACTAGAAGAAACTGTTGCTTAGCAGGGTGGGGTGGGGGTAAAGGGCAAGGGAGGGGAAAAATATACTTGACCAAATTACATGAGTCAGTAGCCTGCAGCCAAAGCAGAAAAATAACATATATACTTATTAACTATAAGCCATTGAAGCATCTTGCTGAATTTCTAACACACAGATAAATATTTGAATGCAAAAAGTAAACAGGAAACCACATCCCTTTGCTTCATCTATCTAATCTTGCTATTGCTGTAGGTAAGAAAATTTATTTCTTTACACGTTTCTCTAGCTTCATAGACAACTCGATTAAGTCTCAAATTTTGATCCCACTGGCTTTGCTGCAGGAATCCAATTGCAGGAAATAATTATAGGAAAAATTCATCAAAACACATATGGTAAGGCCAACTTTCCCATTTACTTTTTAAAAATCTGAGTTCAGCAGAAGGATGAAAACACTAAAAGACATACCTGAGGAAAAAAAAAAAAAAAAAAGAGCAAAGAAGCTGCAAGATTTGGGGTAAAAATACTCTGAATTTTCCTGCATATAACCAACTACAAAAAGTTTCAAATAATTCCCCAGCTAAAGGAGTAAGCAGATAAACTATTGAGGTTCAAGCATCTCCACATAAAAGCACTTGGGTAAATGAGAAGCAGCACAAAAACCCCAAACAAACCCTGAACTATGAATATTCCTCAGCTGTAGGAAAACACAGCTCAGAACAGAATAAACCATCCTTATAGACAAAGTTATCTACTCATTTCACTTGTGCCGTGAACAAGAGAAAAAAAATATTTGCCCTCAAAACTCTACAGCCAAGACAATCTGCCAAGTAATGTGACTTTGTGGTGGTTCTCCAAGGACTCTGGGCTTATCTCATCCTGGTACATGGACAGAGAAATTCTACAGAGCACCTCGTTAAAATGACTGTAATTTCTGGATCTTTGCAACACAAACACAGAGACCACAAAACTGTCCCTGCATGTCATGGAAACAATGGAGAAAAGGGGCTTCTGTGTTCTGTCTCTGTCTCCTTGGGCCTCAATTCCAGTGTAATTAAAATGGTATCACAAAAATCTAGGGATGGAAGAGACGGTGACCCAACTTCTGATCTCTGCACCGGGAACTCATAATAAAATCAATCAGAGTGGAACAATTGGCTCTTCTCTTTTGGAGTGTGACAGCCTTGCAGGTGCATGCCAAAATGCCTTTGCTGAGCACGGCCATCATTAACTTTCTAAGACTCTTTAGGATCCCCTTGGTGCTAAAAGAATGGTACAGCAGGGACTTGGAAAAAGCCAAGAAGTTGACCTATGACTAAGAAAATAAAACTGCAGATGATATTCTTAGCTTTAATTAATCCAAGTGATCATATTGAAATGATTAAACTTTCCAGCTAGTACAAAGCAATGTGGATTACAGCAACTTAAAGATCAAATTTATAACTGCTGTTATGTTACAAAAATACCTAGTTGTATATTCTCATAAATTCTGAATCAAGAAATGACAGTGAAAAACAAATACCATTACAAGCACATAGATGAATTTGAAAGACAAAGAAAGCAAATAATTAAGGTTTTATTTTAATAGGAATGACAAAAAAAATCCCCAAAGTCCTCCTCCTCCTCCTCAAAACATTCACTTACTCAGTCTAATAGAATATTAAATGTTAAAGCTTCAAAATTCAGCTGACCTAACTTTCTCACCAGGTTGGCAAGATAAGGGTATTCATGTTCATTTGCATACATGGATGCATAGATTTTTTCTGGGGTTTGTTGTTGTTCTTTTTTTTTTCTTTAAATTACCTACTCTTGGTTAATCAAAAGGTCTGTTGAAAATGCCCATGGACAAGAGTCACAAGTTGCACTAAAAATGGTTAATCCCACACACCTAATCAAGAACTTTGAATCTTTTTCTCTACTCAACAGCAAAACATATTTTGAGAAAGTCATACACAACACAAAACAACCAATCTTCAAACAGATGATCTGGTTACAATTCTCACATTTCCAGAAGTCCACCATGAAATTCTAACACTGAGGGATGAATCAGGAGTAACACAGGAGACTTGCAGGGGGCCAGAGGTGTGTAAGGATGCCTCGCTTCCTCCTGTCACACACAGCCTTCCTAATGGACAACAGAGACATTTGGGAGCCTCCTCTGCCTCCTTATCAAATACTTGCAGAATAGAGGGACCCTGGATGGCAGATCTTGCCTTTCCCTGGACCTCAGGTGATGCCTAATCACCTGATGATGAGAAAACCACACCACTCTCCACTGACAGACAGATCTGGGTGACATTAGTACGGTGCACACTGCAAGTCTTTATCCCTGTGAATACTCTACATCCACAGAGCCAGCTGAATAATTATGTTTCTGCAGAGCAAATCCAAAGTTACTCTTACAGTAATTAAGATGATACTCACTGGATTAAAAACACAATACATCTCAATCACAAGAGTAGCTTTGAAATAGTGGAGTATCCAGTCATCTTGTTGCCGAACATTATAATTCATCCTGTTATTTATTTCCCTCTTTGGCTTTGATAGCACAATATTTTCTCAGTAATAATACCACTTGATTTCAGTTTCAGCTGGAATCTCGCCTGACTAAAGAGTACAGGCATAATCTCAGTCTTTGTAGATTAATACACTGTGGCACAAAAGGATATATGAAACAGTTTTTACTTAAGTAAAGAATTTCAAACTCTGGCAATTTTACGCTGAAGTAATTGCATAAAACCCTACAATAGGAAATGTATGTAGTTTCAACTAAATCGCTTTCATCAGCATAAATGATCACTCAGAGTTTGGAAATTATAATTTTGGTTATTTAACAATTTTCTTTGTATTTCAATGAAACTAAGTGGCAGAGAATTGTATTTCCCACTCCCCTTTCCATTTGTTAAAAACAGAGCTATAATTTCCAGGAAAATAAAAAATTTCTTGAATGCATGATGTTTTGCTATTGAAGAGTGGCAGAAAAATGCCAAAATGTTCTCTGAAGAAAAATGCCTGATAGGATCAATTGATAGAAATACTACATTCCTCCACAGGAGACTATAATTTCCTTTTAATATCAATCAATAGAAATACTACATTCCTCCACAGGAGACTATAATTTCCTTTTAATATTTGGAAGCAATAATTTCTAAGCTTATAGAGACCTAAAAGTTCAGGAAGAAATGCCAGGCTCACTTCTGTATCCCCTGCAGATCCATCACACTGCTTCAGGATCCTTATCCACGGAGGAGAAAAGGAGAGCCAGGTGCACCAAACTCATCTTACACTACAACTTCCCATAAATCCCTGGCTTAATCCTTTGGATTTATACTGCTCTTTGAGTTGGGTAAAGGAGCAGTGTGAAAATGCTCCTAAAGCGTCAATGTAAATGTTTCTCTAATCCTGTTAAAGCCACAAAACAGGCCCAGCTGAAGGAGCAGGAAACTGAGCTAAGGAACTCTCAGTGACCCCATCAGTAGACCTGTTGGTCACAAGCTCATCCTGGGCATGGCACAGATGTCCTGACATCAGGTGGATCCAGGACATCACCGTGGGGACCCCTCGGACACACTGGATGGTGGTGAGCTCTGCAGTAACACCAAGTTTTGCACTGGTAACTTGCAGCAGCCGAGTTATTAAAATAGCTGGTGCAGAAACAGAAGATAGGACTAAATATTTTCTGAATGCCACTTTGTTGCATTACACAGAAATTTATGTTCCCCAAACATGACACTGAATTCAGCCAAAAATGATACAACTTCATTGCTTTTCTTTAAAAGTCAGAAGAAGGGGGGAAAAAGTTGAAAGAAAAATACTCAAGGTGACACCACACTTTAAAAACTGGGAAACTGGTCTGTTAAAATGTGTTGGTGGTAACGTTTAGGGTTTGGACTCCCATTAATGGGGCCCCAGGGAAAATATAAACACTCTTTCTGAAATTAAATCTTGAGTTTGCCCACCGCAGTCTTGTTTTCAGCTTCAGCTGCTGGCACGTCAGCCTGCAATTGAGGCCTTGCATCAAATGCCAAACCAAACATTCAGCAACAAGAATGGTAATGACACTCTATTTTATTCTAAGGCACATTAAAATATAGTATTATAAAAAAAAGGCAAAAAAATCACTCATTTGAGATTAATAACATAAAAGAAACTGATTTTTGTAACCTCTCTCACTTGCACTTGTCTTCAAATAATAAACCTTCAGAAGAAAGCTGTGCTTGACTCTTGAAATCAAGCACACTTGCAAAACAGTAACACATATCAAAGTTCTGATAATAACTGCCTAAGGGCATAAGCTTTACCTACACGAGTTCTAAACTAAATTCCCTGGTTTTGATACAGGATTTTGCAAGTGATTTAACACGAATGGATCAATAAATGGATGTCACTCATTTGTAATGTAAGTTACAAATTTCCCATCTCAGGTGGGACCCTTCCTATTCACAGAGATATGACATACTAATATCAGAACTCTGTTACTGGAACACCTCCTACCAGCATCTCTTTAAGTTATCTCTTGTATTCCCACATTCTTTTCCTAAACACTGCGTTCAAGGTGAGAGTGTGTTGCTCCAGCTATTAGTTTTTCCTTCTCTCTCTCCCAAATCTCTAGCCTTCTGTAATCTCTCCACACAGATGGATCTAGAGTAAGGGATGCAATGTAAAATACAGCCCCTGTTCCAGGTAAGGGATTGGGATCTCTTGCCAGAGAAGGGAATAGTCAGCCTTGCCTATCCTAATCCCAGCGTCTGTGATGTCTCATGATGCATAGGAACTATCCCCTACATGGGAAAAATTGCAGTCTGGATCTACACAGGATGGATGGAGCTTCTAATATAAACACTGCTCCAGGACACTCAATCCCTGATGGGAATCTGGGTTGGGAATCTGGGTTGATCTGACTCAGGAAGCAGACTGCACCCATGACTCAAACCAGGGACTAACAATTTACCTGTCATGGGTAAGGAATTTGAAGAAGCAGCCAATT